TTGTCTCTGACCCTGACCCTGCCTGTCCTCCGTCCGTCGGGGGTGAGACTGCCCTTGGCTGTACTGCCCTTGGCTGTGACGTTCTTGAGGATAGACAGGAGGAGCTGGAGTGCCTTGCGGCCGCTTCACCCCATCACGGAACCATGCTGCTTGCCCCTGAGGGAGACCCGGATGCACTTGACATCCCCTCCCCGCGCTCCTACAGGGAGGGGATTTCGGGTGAGTACTCCTCTCAGTGGCAGACAGCCATGGACGCAGAGATGGCTTCCTCGAAATCTACAGGCACCTGCGTCGACGAGGTTCCCCCACCTGGGGGGAAGCGAAGCAATCTTGGCTTGCAGATCACCCGAGACAGAGCACGGCGCACCATCACCCTCACTTAGTCACACATGGTGCACCAGGTCCTTCAGCGCTTCCGCTTCACGTACTCCTCGCCACAGCCCACTCCTCTGGCTACCGGCCACTCGCTCTCAGCTCCACCTTCGGACGAGTCCGTAGAGCCGAGTGGTCCGTACCCAGAGCTTGTAGGTTGCCTCATGTACCTGATGACATGCACACGACCTGACCTCGCGTACCCTCTCAGCCTCTTGGTTCGCTACGTGGCACCTGGTCGACACCGAAAGGTGCACTTTGATGCTGCGAAGAGGGTACTGCGTTACTTGTGCAGCACATCGGGCATGGGGCTCGTGCTTGGAGGACGGGGTTCAGTGGTCCTCACAGGACACTCTGACGCTTCTTGGGCCGACGACCAGGCGACTCAGCGTTTATCACAGGGCTACACCTTCAGTCTTGGCGCTGGTTCTGTCTCGTGGAGGTCCACTCGTTCTTCTTCTGTGCTTGGTTCTAGCTGTGAGGCCGAGATCTACGCTGGGGCCATGGCTGCACAGGAGCTCCGCTGGCTGACCTACCTGCTGACCGACTTGGGGGAGCGGCCTCGTTCTCCTCCGGTTCTGTACGTCGACAACAAGACAATGCTTGCCTTGTGTCGCGAGCAGAGACTGGAGCACCGAACGAAGCACATTGCTCTTCGCTACTTCCTTGCGCGTGAGCTGCAGCAGCGTCGTCAGCTGCGCCTTGCTTTCGTGGCCTCTCGGGCCAACACTGCTGATGTCTTCACCAAGGCTCTTGGGGCTGGTGATCATCAGCGTTTCTGCACTGCTCTTCGGCTTGTGCCCACTCTGCCTCACCTGCTGGTTGCTTGACTTGCTCTTGTTGTACAGTGATATATATCTTTATACCTGCTTGTTTACTCTTGCTAGGTTGTGATCAGTGTACTGCCTTACTATTATAACTCTGCATGTGAACTGACCTTGTGGCCGCTTGCTTGTGCTCAGATTGTGTGGTGTTCTTGAGATCCACCCTGAGCTTTGTTTTGCTTTGCTTGTTCTCTTGCTTGACTGGTCTTGTGACCGTCTATTGTGTTTGCTATCTCCCACTTAGTCTATGGGGGTGTGTCAAACTGTATGTTTGTCTTATCTCTAGGCTATAGTGGGTTAGCCTACAAGGGGTACGGAGAGTCACTCTACAATGGTAGTGAGCTAGACTACGGGGTTGGCACGAACTACTAGAGGTGATCGTAGCTTTGCTGAGTTCCTTAGTGCTTGCACATTCACGGGAGAAATCGGCAAGAGTTTCCACTAGCAAAGTTGGAATTACAGAAAAGTAATTGAACAAGCAATGACAGAATGACTACATCAGGCACCTAGCAACCCTGCAGCTAGCCTGGTCGACCGCCAGCACAGCTCGGTCGACCGCCTGCCAGCGTTGCGTAGAGGAGCCGCGCCAGCACTGCAGAAGGGCGACCTGCCAATAGAGCAGATCGACGGCGTGCCAACGCTGCAGCAGAGTGGCTGTCCAGCGTTGCCCCGTAGAACACAGCAGTGCGCACGCTCGCAGGTGCGCGCAGACGATTGGCCCGACTTGCCTCGTTGGGCATCCATCGGCTGTTGTCTGCGCCCGACGAGCCACATCGACTTCGGGATACCAGCCCGAAGCCGCCTGCGCCATCGCGACCTTGACGACGTTCGCGTGCCCCCGCAGAACTCGTCGAGCAAGTTACCCGGTCGACCACCAGGTGCTTCCGGTCGACCACAACTCCCGTCGAGCACCCCCCTGGTCGACGGACCCCTTCCGTTGACCAGAACCGTCAGCGGTTGTCGCCGAGCTCCCCTCGTCGACCGCTGCTCACTTGTCAGGTTGACGGACTGCTCCGTCGACCTCCCGGTCGAACTGCAGGTCGACGAGATGCTTCGTAGACCTCCCGGTCGAAGGCCCACCCGTCGCCCAGACCAGTCGGTTGCAGTGTTTCTCAATTTACTATTCGTAGCGATAACAACAGGGCTGGTTTTATCAGGGTAATTACCCTGATTTCAGGGTGATTTCAGGCTTTCCACTTTGCGGAGACTGAGATTTCAGAATTACTGAGTTCTCAACCCTGTTCAAATCAGAGTAATAGTTTTCATATCCCTGATTTAGAGTATAGTGTAACAGACTCCCCTGTTAGTGGATCCTGACTTAATAGGGGATCGAATTTGTGGTCCCTGATTTTGACCTTATCGAGAGAAAGTTTCTTGGAAATTTCGTTCCAATATCCCCCTTCGGATTGATTGCAGTACAGCCAGCGCGTGAGCGATGGACAGCAGCATGTCTGACAGGCGAGTACACTCGATATCGGTTATTTTCACGAATTGCGAATATGTTGTTCTACTGTCAGATTTGCGTTTGCGTGAAGTTACCACAACTTTTTTGCTTTTCGCACAGCGATGTTGGTGACATTAAGGTACTCGGTGAATTAAAAACTTGACACATCTGTGGTATCGAATCGAAATCTTATAACGTGTGGATAAATATTTTTTTAGTCAAACTAAACGTTCAGACATTAGCACGCTCACAGTGTGCGCGAAACAGAGAGCAAAGACTATACGGAGAGCTAGACTTTTTCCCCTGTAACAAAGGGCGCGTTACTACTCTGATCTTCGTTTCTCGACCCTGAACAATCAGAGTTATATACTTTTCAACCCTGAGCAATCAGGGTAGCATCATTCTGAAAAATGTGCACTCATAATTGAGGGGAAAAAAAATTCCCGGAATCAGGGAGCCTAATATGAAACGTCAACCCTGGATAACAATGCTTGCTTATTAGCAGGGTCCTCGTTATCAGACCAAATCGGTCTGATGGTCTGAAAATCAGACCTGCTTTTTTCATTTCATCTTAACCGTAAGGCCAGTAATTATATTTCGTCTGAACTGTAAGACCGGTATTTTTATTTCGTCTGGAAAAAAAGACAGCGTTATGTTTCGTCTGAGTAATCAGATAGTGAGTATATTTCCGTCTGACAGCAAGTACCGAGCAAGCAGCCCCCTCCCCGCGAACATTCGAGCCCGAAACCCTGGCCCCCCTTCCACCCAGTTTCCTCGAATCAAAGGCCCTGTTCGGTAGCCCCCACAGTCACACTGCGGTTGGTGCAGGTGCTCTTCCTCGGCCCAATTTCGACTCACCTTAAAGCCCACCGAACCGTTATTAGAACACCATACCTGACCAGTGCAAATTGGCTACCGAACGCGTGAAAACCCCAGTCCGAGTGAAGTTGAGGACGCTACCACGAAAATGCTTGGTCAGGCAAGCTCGACCGCCAGTGTAAGTCAACCCCATTTCTGCTTTCCAGTTCCACTGAGGCAGGCCCGCTCTGAGTGGCACGCTGTAGGGTAAACGCTGCATTAGTTTCGAATCGGGTCAAATTATGTTTTTCAGCTCGCTCGTTCAAGTGATGAGAGATCGTGCCCGTTCGTGATTTTCTTTTATCCATATCGAGGGTGTTTCATTTGGCGGGCTGTTTTTTGTTTGTGAGTTGGGCAGCCTCGTACAGAAGTAAAAGTTTCGACCAGTAATTTCTCGAGAAACACACGGTAACTTCTTGCATTTGTGGACGAGACTTCCTTTCAGTGTGAGTGGACGCCCGAGGCTACGAAACATGTCGTAGGCTTCCCCAGTTCGAGTGGGCCCGGTGTGACTGGAAGGCTACCGAACAGGGCCGAAGTCCACCCTACGGCTCAGACAAGTCACGTCCCAGCCCCAAACCGCTCCCTCTCGCAGCCCAACTCCCCCTAGTCCTTCTCGCAGCTCAGCATCCGACCCCCCTGCTGCACTCTCCCGCCTCTCGCAGCCCAACTCCCCCTAGTCCCTCTCGCAGCTCAGCATCCGAACCCCTTGCTGCACTCTCCCACCTCTCGCAGCCCGACATCCCCATGATTCGGTTGTGACGCTCTGATAAAAACAACATGACACAACTACAATTTGCAAAAACAGACAACACTAGTCGTTTCATTTGGAAAATCAGACATGCCTTTCTCATTCGTCTGAAAAATCAGACCAATTTTTTTCCCCCATCTGAACGTCAGACGAAACAGATTTTGGGATTTATGTTTTCAGACGGGCTCAAAACCTAGCAAGAGCCCTGCTTATTAGACGTCTGTTGAGGACATTTCCTCGAGAAACTTTGCGACAAGCTCGTAGACAAAAAAGGTGATTGCAGCAGATGGGGCGGCTTTGATAACGGAAGGCAGCACACCTTTATAGAGCCCCTCCACACCCTCGGTGGCCACTATCTTGCGCAGCGCGTCTATCATGCCGCCGTACGCCCTCGGCTGGATGCGCGCTCCGTACCGAGGATGGCGCCGCAGCCCCTCCACCTGCCCGGATCGATGGGGTCCGAGTGGGCGAAACGGAGAAGATATACGAAAAAACATCATGACTTAGTAGCTCAGGGGACGAGAGTCGTTTTACATGGATGGGAGGATGGCACAGCGTGGATGAGGATGGGACATGGAGTGGCATGGGATACGGGTACATGGCATCCCATGGAGTGGCATGGCATACATGGTATCTCATGGAGTGGCATGGCATACATGGCATCCCATGGAGTCAAATACCATGACATAGCATCGCAAGGCAAGGCAAAGCATGGGAGGGTATGGCAAGGACGGCAAGGCATGGGAACGCGTCAAAAGGCATTTGTAGGCATGAGAAGGCATGGGGAAGCATGGGAAGGCGTGGAAAGGCATGGGAGGGCATGGGAGGGCATGGGAGGGCATGGGAGGGCATGGGAGGACATGGGAGGGCATGGGAGGGAAAGGGAGGGCATGGGAATGCATGGGAGGGCATGGGAGGGCATGGGAGGGCATGGGAGGGCATGGGAGGGCATGGGGGGGCATGGGAGGGCATGGGAGGGCATGGGAGGGCATGGGAGGGCATGGGGGGGCATGGGAGGGCATGGGAGGGCATGGGAGGGCATGGGGCGCCTTTTAGCAGCAGGATCAAGGAAAGGCATCTCACTCACTTGGAATCGCTTTTTGATGACATCGAGTGGGTGGCAGGCGACCTTAGCGAGTGTGCCCGCTGCCAGCCCACACATGAACTGCTGCCATGCACTCAGCTGCCCCGATGACACGGCAGGCCGTGCCGCCCGCTCCACTGCCGATGCCACGGCTGGCGGGGCTGCTGCTGGTGAGAGTGATGGTGATGATGATGGTGAGGGTGATGGCGGCGGGGAGAGTGGCGCGGTGGACGGGGCTGTGGAGGGCAGGTGGGAGTGGGCGAGCGACACGGGGCGGTCGTGGCGAGCCTTGGAGCGCGACCAGTTGTAGTGCTGCACACAGTGAGAGGGGGCGCGCAGCAATGCCACGGACACAAGTGAGCTGGCTGATGTGACAGACTGTATGATATAGGTATCATGAGATATGATAGGATAATAAGTGGACGGTGTATGTTAGAGCAAGTCCAACACCGTTGGTTGGGCGCTGACAAACACTTTTGCAACGGATGAGGGCGAGATCAGTGAGAAGGCGCGATCGCTGAGCCTCCCCTCCGCAGTGCTGCTACCGGTGCCTCACGGCCACCAGAAAGCAGAGTGGGGCATTTTTTGCTACAAGGGCGCATAGGGGAAGGGGTGCGAGAAGAAGGCAGAGGGGCGCGGGGTGGGGTGGGGTGGGGTGGGGTAAGGCAGGGGCACGTACAGCGAGGTGGCGCTTGAAGGCATCGTAGAGGCCAAACTGCAGGCCGGCGCAGAGAAGAGCGGGGGATGGGGGGGATGGGGGGACGGGGGGATGGGGGGATGGGGGGACGGGGGGATGGGGGGATGGGGGGACGGGGGGATGGGGGGATGGGGAGCAGCACGTACAGCGAGGTGGCGCTTGAAGGCGTCGTAGAGGCCGAACTGCAGGCCGGCGTAGGGGATGATCTCCACCATGGTGGGCGGCAGCCCTGCAAACAGCCCCCTCACCCCGCGCTCCCTCACTATCCCCATGCACGCCGCCCTCATGCCCGCATACACCTGTGCACGCGCGTTGCAAGGGGTTGGGGTGAGCAGGGTTGAGTGAGAAGGGGTTGAGTGAGAAGGGGTTGAGTGAGAAGGGGTGGCAGCGAGAGAAAGAGGAGAGAAAGAGCACTGGAAAGTGAACCTGCCAGAGTGCAAGGGAGAAGCGGCTGCCATGATTGACTGCCCTCATGCCTTCTCCCCGCCACACCCTTGGCAAGTTGACACGCGTTGCCGTACAGCCCTGCCTCATGCCTCGTCCCTCACCTTGGGTTCGCCCTGCATCAGGCCTCATGCCGCACTCATATGCCACACTCATATGCCGCACTCATATGCCGCACCCATATGCCGCACTCATATGCCGCACCCATATGCCGCACCCATATGCCGCACCCATATGCCGCACCCATATGCCGCACCCATATGCCGCACTGATGCCAGCACTCATATGCCGCACTGATGCCAGCACTCATGCCTCGTCCCTCACCTTGGGTTCGCCCTGGGAAGCCAGCACGGTGCGCAGCAGGTCGAAGGGGTACGACCCCACCCCACCGTGGCCGCCATGCCTCATTAACGGAGAGCTCTGCGCGTTGACTTTTGAGTCGACTCAAATGCCATGCTGTGCCTCGTGTGATGCCATGCTGTGCCTCGTGTGATGCCATGCTGTGCCTCGTGTGATGCCATGCTGTGCCTCGTGTGATGCCATGCTGTGCCTCGTGTGATGCCATGCTGTGCCTCGTGTGATGCCATGCTGTGCCTCGTGTGATGCCATGCTGTGCCTCGTGTGATGCCATGCTGTGCCTCGTGTGATGCCATGCTGTGCCTCGTGTGATGCCATGCTGTGCCTCGTGTGATGCCATGCTGTGCCTCGTGTGATGCCATGCTGTGCGTCGTGTGATGCCATGCTGTGCCTCGTGTGATGCCATGCTGTGCCTCGTGTGATGCCATGCTGTGCCTCGTGTGATGCCATGCTGTGCCTCGTGTGATGCCATGCTGTGCCTCGTGTGATGCCATGCTGTGCCTCGTGTGATGCCATTCTGTGCCTCGTGTGATGCCATGCTGTGCCTCGTGTGATGCCATGCTGTGCCTCGTGTGATGCCATGCTGTGCCTCGTGTGATGCCATGCTGTGCCTCGTGTGATGCCATGCTGTGCCTCGTGTGATGCCATGCTGTGCCTCGTGTGATGCCATGCTGTGCCTCGTGTGATGCCATGCTGTGCCTCGTGTGATGCCATGCTGTGCCTCGTGTGATGCACGCACCTTGGGTTCGCCTTGTGAGGCGAGCACGGTGCGCAGCAGGTCGAAGGGGTACGACCCCACCGTGGCCGCCATGCCCGCCACCGACCCGCCCACGAATGACAGCTCCGGTCGCAGCTGCTTGTGGTCCTCTGCCAGGGGGCACACGGGGGCACACGGGGGCACACGGGGGCACACGAGGCATATGGAGGGAGATGTGGACGACGGGGATGAAGGGGAGCAGCGGTACGGCCCCACGAATGACAGCTCCGGCCGCAGCTGCTTGTGGTCCTCTGCCAGGGGCGGGAAGCGAGGGGTAGGAAGGAGAAAGGGGGAAGGGGGTATCGCTGGTATATGAGCGGGGAATTGAAGGGCGGGCGTGAAGGGATATCCTTACCAACGACAGCTGCGGCTTCCCGGGGTCTTGAAAAAGGGGGAAGGAGAGATAGGGGGAGGGGAAGGTTGTGAGGCACGAGGGGATGACAAAGGGAGAGTATGAGACTGGAGATGTCAGTTTCCCTGACAGTCATGGAGAGCGTGGGCATGGGAAGGGGAAGCGGGGGCACATCGCGTGTTTGGCGTCCTCGCTGCGCTACACAGCGCTTGTTTGGCGTCCTCGCTGCGCTACACAGCGCTTGTTTGGCGTCCTCGCTGCGCTACACAGCGCTTGTTTGGCGTCCTCGCTGCGCTACACAGCGCTTGTTTGGCGTCCTCGCTGCGCTACACAGCGCTTGTTTGGCGTCCTCGCTGCGCTACACAGCGCTTGTTTGGCGTCCTCGCTGCGCTACACAGCGCTTGTTTGGCGTCCTCGCTGCGCTACACAGCGCTTGTTTGGCGTCCTCGCTGCGCTACACAGCGCTTGTTTGGCGTCCTCGCTGCGCTACACAGCGCTTGTTTGGCGTCCTCGCTGCGCTACACAGCGCTTGTTTGGCGTCCTCGCTGCGCTACACAGCGCTTGTTTGGCGTCCTCGCTGCGCTACACAGCGCTTGTTTGGCGTCCTCGCTGCGCTACACAGCGCTTGTTGGCGTCCTCGGCGTAAGCGTCCTCGCTGCGCTACACAGCGCTTGTTTGGCGTCCTCGCTGCGCTACACAGCGCTTGTTTGGCGTCCTCGCTGCGCTACACAGCGCTTGTTTGGCGTCCTCGCTGCGCTACACAGCGCTTGTTTGGCGTCCTCGCTGCGCTACACAGCGCTTGTTTGGCGTCCTCGCTGCGCTACACAGCGCTTGTTTGGCGTCCTCGCTGCGCTACACAGCGCTTGTTTGGCGTCCTCGCTGCGCTACACAGCGCTTGTTTGGCGTCCTCGCTGCGCTACACAGCGCTTGTTTGGCGTCCTCGCTGCGCTACACAGCGCTTGTTTGGCGTCCTCGCTGCGCTACACAGCGCTTGTTTGGCGTCCTCGCTGCGCTACACAGCGCTTGTTTGGCGTCCTCGCTGCGCTACACAGCGCTTGTTTGGCGTCCTCGCTGCGCTACACAGCGCTTGTTTGGCGTCCTCGCTGCGCTACACAGCGCTTGTTTGGCGTCCTCGCTGCGCTACACAGCGCTTGTTTGGCGTCCTCGCTGCGCTACACAGCGCTTGTTTGGCGTCCTCGCTGCGCTACCCCACCTTTCTCTCAGTCGCCTCCTCACCCGCCGCACAGCCCGCCCTCCACCTCGCCTCCCCTGTTCGCTTGCCACCTGCCCTGTGCGCTCACCTGTGCGGTGCGAGCCGGTCATGAGCGATTTGAAGCGGTGGATGACGACGAACTGGATGGCGGTGTAGGGCATCACCAACAGCAGCCCCGGCACCGTGCCCCGCCAGAAGCCCTGCTCTCGGGGGGGGGGGGGGGAGGGAGGTGGAGGGGGGGGAGGGGGAGGGATGGGGGGAGTGAGAGATGGGGAACGGCGAGGCATCACGAGCAGCAGCCCCGGCACCGTGCCCCGCAGCAGGTGCTTCCTCTGCGCCCGCGGCGACGCCGATGCCGCAGATGCAGGCGACTCGGGCTCGCGGAATACTGTCATAGCTGTGATGGGAGCGGTGGGAGTCAGTGTGTGTTCGCGGCACGCTGGCGCGCTCAGCCTACAACTGGATGCATGGCGTAACGACCTCACGAGCACACCAACGTACGTGAGCCTTATCACTAGCGCACAATGAAACTTCCGTCCTACTAAAGCGGAGAGAGATATTTACGCCAGTTCGTCAGAGCAACAAAACAAATATCTAGGCCTTCCGGGTTTGTCCCAAGGTATTTGCAACCAATCAAAATGAATTGCGGGCCTCTCAACTGGTTGCCGATCTGATCGGCATTTTTGCCTTCGTCCTTGCGATTGCGATTGTGGTATCCCGTTCTCCACCGCTGTCGTGCGTGTTCGCGACATGTTCGGTCATCATGGTAACCAGGTTCCCGCGCACACACCCGAAGGAATGAACGAAGATGGAATTTCAAGCATGCAAAAACTCCCGACATTCATCGAACCACCTTGCTAACCTTTCAAATCTAGCTTGCCTTCACCTGCTTTCCTCCAAGCAAGTCGCAGTGCTCCAACGCGTCAACTCCTACAGCGACCATGGCAAACGTCACCGTATGCGTCAGGTTCCGGCCCCAGGTGAGTGCGAAGCGAATGAGCCCGTTGAGGCACGGCGCCTGTTGAAGCGACTAATGTGCTTTGTGGGGGTGAGCAGAACAAGATCGAGCTGCACGAAGGCGGGTTGATCTGCGTCGAGAAGAACTGCGACCAATCCTTCTACTTGAAGGCACGCTGGCCGTCACATCGTTTTGTTTGTTTGTTCGTGCCTGCTACGGGAAGCGTCTAACGCAGCGCGAATTCCAGGATGAGAAGGAGGAGAAGACGCTGTTCACGTTCGACCGGACCTTCTACCAGGACTCGTCGCAGCAGGAAGTCTTCAGCTACGTCGCGCTGCCCGTCGTGCAGGGTACGATGAATCGCCACGATCGCACGACGCCGCTTGACTTATCCCCGCTAAAAGAACTGTCGCTTGGTGACCTGCAGATGCTCTTTCGGCAATCAACGGCACAGTGCTCGCGTATGGTCAGGTATGGCCGATTCAGCTCATCGATTCATGGCTCGTCGTACTAACTCGCCACCGTCCTCGCAGACCGGAGCGGGCAAGACGCACACGATGGAGGTGAGCACCGCCTCGCTCGCCGCATCACCCCGCTGCTTTGCGCGCCGAGCCTGACGGCGATCTGTGTGTGCGCAGGGGCCCAACATGCTCATCGACGACCCCGAGAGTTCCGGCATTCTCCCGCGCGTCGCCAAGGAGATCTTCGTCCGCATCAATGCGTCGGACGCCCCCAGCGAATACAAAGTCGCTCTCTCTGTGGTAAAGCTTCAGGTTCAGAGTAATTGTCGATTTTGGTCTCAGGCCTGACACACGCTGACGGCAAGATTTCGGCAGGTTGAGATTTACATGGAGCGGATCAGGTAAACTCCTTGTGCAAATCAACAGGTCGAAGCACGTTGAGTCTGACCCTCCTCTTGCGTATTTTTGTTTCTGCCACGGAAGCATTTCTGTTTTTAGCATCCTTGATGTGTTGCAATTCGAGCAGGGACCTCTACGATGTGTCAAAGGACAACCTGGTGGTGAAGGAGGACCAAACCCGAGGGATCTCCATTGCCGGCGTCACCGAGGTGAGCCTGCCTAGTATGGTGGTGACTCTCCTGTTGTGCTCATTGCTGTGCGTGCAGTAGTTTCACACGTTCATGCATGTGTTCGGTGCATTCTGCAGATATATGTTGAGGGCGAGAAGGAAATGCTTCAGCTTCTTGAGGTACGCTGTTCTCTGACTTTCTGCATTCGTTCGTTGGATGCCCACATAAGTTCACTGACTCTTTTCTTTCAGGCTGCAATCAAGAATCGGGCTGTTGGGGCCACCAGTAAGTGTCTTATGTCATCCTGTGGACCTTATTGCTTGGTGTTGCTTGCAAGATTTTGATCCTCAAGTTACCGTTTTCTTTGCAGACATGAATCAGGGTAGCAGCCGCAGCCACTGCATGTTTCTTCTGACAATCCAACGAACCTCTGCGGATGGGAGCAGGTGTGGTAGTAAGAACTTCTTTTTTTACTTCTGCTGGCCGTCCATTTGTGCTCATCAGCAAATGTCTTTGGCAGCTCGCAAGTTGGGAAGATCTACCTTGTGGATTTGGCTGGCTCGGAGAAGGTTGAAAAGACAGGGGCGGAAGGACGACTGCTTGATGAGGCCAAGATGATCAACAAATCACTCTCTGCCTTGGGGAATGTCATTAATGCCCTCACATCCGGTGGGGTTTCATTCTTCTTATCCTGATTCCTGTCGTGTGCTGTAAAACTGAGGTTGAGAAACGCTGCAGATAAGGCGTCGCACATCCCCTACCGTGACTCCAAGCTCACTCGGATTTTGCAAGAATCGCTGGTGAGTCGAGCTGCATGTGAGTTGCCGCTTAAGTGGAGGCAACGGCTGAAGCATAATAAAACACTTCATTTGTCAATGCAGGGTGGAAATTCACGTACAACTTTACTCTGCTGCTGCTCCCCTTCCACTTACAACTATGCAGAATCCGTATCTACTGTCCGCTTCGGCTTAAGGTAGCAGTTTCAGACCACTTGATTTTGCATGCCGGCTTGCTTGACTGGCTCTCACGTGCACCCAATGCCAGGGCGAAGCAAATCAAGAATAAGCCTGTCGCCAATAGAGAGGTGGGGCGTGGGGAACTCCAGCGGCGCTTGCAGGAATCAGAGCTGGAGTGTGAGTTGCTGAGGCAGCACATTCAGACCCTCACCCTGGCCATTCAAAGGCTTCCTGGTGGAGGTTTGTCAACATAGAGCTTGCAGGATGGGCAGCAGCCTTGCAGTTCGTTTGGTAACCCTCTTTGCTGTCCATGCAGGTGAGGTTCTGAAGGACGTTGGCGATCCAATCGGCGAAAAAACTTCAGGATCCAATCGCATGAAGGTGCGTTTCTTAAAAAACCACCTTGGTGTTTATGCTTCCTGCTTGTATGTTAACTCTTTTGATGTTCCGCAGGGAAGCCAAATGCTTGCTGCGTGCATTGAGGGGTTGCATGGCCTTCTTTCCAGTGAGGGCATGGCTTGGGCGTCTGAGCTACCCACCATTGAAGACATGAGTGACATTCCAAAGCTGCTGCCTGCTGTGGTGGAGAAACACCTCTCTAGTCAGTCCAGTGAGGGAAACGATGAGAAGGATTTGAAGTATCTTGAAGAGGCGATGGATGATATGGCTGCCCGTCTCAAGAAGGTGAGGAACTTGGTTGATGCGGCTGATCATTCTTTCCAGATTTATATCGTCTTAATTTGCAATCGATTGTGCAGCTGGAAGCCAAGATTGCAAGATAGCACTGCTTTGACCACCATTTCTCTGTGCTAGCATGTGCTGTGTGCACATTGGGATGGCTGCTTTGGAGGTTTGGGATGCAGGAAAAGTTCAGCTAGGTGGTGAGAATTTTGCAGCACATAATCTACCCATCTCCTGGTGGTGTTCTCTTGCACCATGTGTATTACTACTTCCCATCCATTGACATTAAGATGACCTTAACACTAAGCTAGGGCTGGTTATATTCTATGCTGTGCTTGCTCTGACCTTTTGTATTGCGATTTGCTGTTTGAGGGATGGAAAAACTGTGCTTGTATTCTACTCGGACATCCTTGTATCGAGTAATTTACGGGGGTTTGGACAGTTCTCTATATCCTCGTTTCGTGCCTTCTGCGGTCTGACGGAAAAACAATTCCAAGGGGTGAATGAAGTGCCGCACAAATGGACGTGCCTAGGCGATTGCTCGACGACTGCCCGTTGCCCAAAAATCGTTGCTCGAAACGCATTCCAGACACCCGCCCAACCCGGAGCCGCACCCCCTGCTCCCTGTTGAGTGACGCATGCTGGAGGAAAGGCGGTTAGGCCTGGTTGAGTTCGTTACATCTGGGTAGCAGCTGGGTTGGCCGACACTGCACTCACTTCATGCGGCATTTTCGATTCCCCCCCACCTCCTCCGTCCATCTCTTCGGACAAACTCTCACCTTCCCAGCGATAGCCCATTTCCGCAATTCGATCAGTTGTGTTTAGAAGTCAAGCCAGCTTCCTAGCTTCCTGCGAGTAATCTCCATCAACGTCTGGACCTAACAGGATCTGCGTAACCAGTGCCGTAGAGACTTATCGCATGGCGCGTTTCTCGCTGATATATGCTGCCATGTTTACTCTAGCTGTAGCGGTGACGGTGACGCTACCACTTTGCGAATGCGCCGAACCCTCTCAGAGGTAAGGTTCTGCTCTCGACGCATTTGAAGCGAGCGTATACATTTCGAGTCCAGTAGAAACAAAAGCCATGAGAAGTAGGTCGCCGAAACTCAGAAACCTGAAACCAGCAAGCACAGGAGAATTATCATGGGGGTGGTGGATCAATCAAATTTGGGAAGGCGAACCTCCTCTACTCAGTGTCAGTAAATTCACCTCACCAAATACTCGCTAAGTAGCATACTCAAGGAGAGCGAAGAGGGTAACGTGGCTGCCTTCACACCTCGCTGCGCCTCCCCTCATTCCCCGCCGCGCCTCCTCTCACACCTCGCCGCCCTCCCCTCGCACGCCTCCCCTCACACCTCGCCGCGCCTCCCCTCCCGCGCCTCCCCTCACGCCTCTCCGCGCCTTCCCTCGCGCTCACACTTCGCCGCGCCTCCCCTCGCATCTCACCGCGCCTCCCCTCGCATCTCACCGCGCCTCCCCTCGCATCTCACCGCCCTCCTTGCTCGTGGCCAGCAGCCGTCCACTCCCTCAACCAACTCCTCGCCCATCTCACATACTGCTCACCTTGACCTCTCACTTTCGGCGTGTCCGCCCTCTCACGTTTGGCGGGGCCGCCATCTAACCTCCCGGGACCCGCCACTCTCACTCTCGCCGCGCCTGTCTTCTCACACTCTCCGCCCTTTCCCTTCGCACGGCGAATCTTTGCCCCCACTTTTACCCCCGGCTTAACCTCAGTCTCCCCCAGCCTCCGCTCAGTTTCCCCACCTCTGCTTCCCCTACTTTTTCCTTCTGCCTCCCCTCAATTCCCCCCCCTGCTTTCCCACACTTCCCCCCCTGTTTGCGCTCAGAATTTCCGCAACCTCCACTCAGATTCCCCCCTGCTTCCCCTCACTTCCCCCCCCTGCTCCCCCTCATTCTCCCCTCTGCTTCCCCCCATTCCCGCCCCTGCTTACCCTCACTTTCCCCCCAGCCTTCACTCAGTTTCCATTCTGCCCTCAGTTTCCCCCTGCACTTATCCCCACTCATACGCTCCGTCATCCCCCTGCGTACCCTCGCTTTCCTCTGTTTCCACTGTCCCTGTCTGGGCCTTCGCCACCTTCCCTCTCCCTTTCTCCCTTGTTTCCTCCTTCCCTATATTCCTCCTCTCTCATTTCCCCACTTCTCTGTCCGCTTGTCCTACCACAACCACCTTCTTCTTTATCCCACCCCTTTGTCGCATTCTCTCCCTCTCTACTTATTTGACTCTCAAAGCTCTCCCCTTACGCGTCTCCCGTTCCTTTCCCCCATGCGCGCGTGGCAGCGTTGCCATAACGCCCGCCAGCAACGCTGCCCGCGCCACCTACCGCAGCGAGATATTCCAGGCTGACGTCAGCATAGTGGTGGACGAAAAGTCCATTCTGTTTCAGGTGAGCACACGCGCATCCTTCCCTTTTGACTCGACTCGAAAGTCGTCACATTCCCATCCCTCACGGGCACGCCTCTCGCCCAGCTGCGTCATTGCGGTTGTGTGGCGTTGAACTTCGACTGGCATCCCCTCTGCCCGCCCTTGATTCACCCCGCTGCCTGCCAGGCGAGCCCCCCGCCCAACTTCAAGGACCTCTTCGCCTACACCAACCCCGCCTACGAGTCCTTCCCGCTCCCGCCTGGTGCGTATGCCCCGCATGCTCGCCCATACAGCACGCAGTGCCACATGGAACGCATGACCGTCCATAGAACGTGTCCAAGCTGCCTGTCGCGCGCTGTATCGCACGTGTCGCATGCAGCCACACCAGAACATGTCGACGTTATCGCTGCCGTAGGATTTACACGCGGAGCACGCCTGTGTGGGGTGGGGTGTGCGGCGTGGCAGGTTCGCCCAAGACGGTGTTCAACCACGTGGGTCTCATGTACAACCCCTTCGGCGCTCTGCCCTTCCTCGCTGGTAACCACTGCTCGCGCCTCCTTCCTTCCCTGTTGCCCAATTTCCTTTCCCTTCTGCTCCTGTTGCAAATCACTCGCATCTCACGCCACTCGCATCTCACGCCACTCGCATCTCACGCCACTCGCATCTCCCGCCACTCGCATCCCCTCGCCCCGCACACTCGAGTCTGCCACGCCTCGCAGCCTGAAACTCAACCTTGCATTTCTGTTCTCTCAATTTCTCTCCCACCTCCCACTTCCCTCGCCTTCCCTCCTCCTTTCTCGCACCTCACCTCGGCGCTATGGCTGGCTGTGCGGGGAGCAGGGCAGGAGGACCCAACGCCGGTGAACGGCACGCACGCAGTGAACGAAACATGCCTGTCGTGCTTCCTCTTCATCACCTTTTTCCACGTCGACCCCTCACTCGTCAACACCACGGGCGCCGGCTGTGCCTTCAACGACAACGGCTTCTGCAGCGTCACCAAGGGCACGCCCATCTTTCAGCCGCCCAGCAAGGACCTGCTGGGCGGCAGCTTTGCCACGTCATCGGGCACCATGTACAAGAGCCGCCCGCTGCTCTCGCCCTTTGGATCCAAGCTGCTCGCGAAATCCGTCCTCACCCCGCTGTGAGTTGTCATGCCTGCACTGTATGCCATCACTCCGCTGTATGCCATCCTTATCCCGCTCTGAAATCATCCCACGTCTCCCATTCCGCCCTCTCGCTGCCTCCAACGCCCCGTTCCCAGCCTCGCTCCCCCAATCCCCCACCCCGCGTGCCCCCGCTCTCACACGCCAATCCCCTACTGCTCCTCTCCAATCATCCGTGCCGCTCATTCCTCCCAACCTCCCCCACCCGCGCCCTCTTCCCCCACCCGCGGCCCCTTCCCCCACCCGCGCCCTCTTCCCCCACCCGCGGCCCCTTCCCCCACCCGCGGCCCCCTCTCTGTGTGAGTGCAGGGCAGCGCCGCGGGTGGGCATGATCTGGACGAGCAGTGTGCAGCCGCCAGCGCTGTTTGGGTATGACGGCAAGGCCACGCTGGGCCCCACCAACTACTACGCCACCAGCGACTCCCAGGTGCGTTGCCTTGCGTTGCGCGCCACACCGCCTCCTCTCTGCCCTCCGTCTCTCTCTGCCTGCCCCCTCTCTGTGCCCGCCTCCTCTCTCTGCCCGCCTCTCTCTGCCCGCCCTTCGTTGTGGCAGCCTCCTCGCTCTACCCGTTCTCATCCCTGTCAGCATAACGTACATGCTCCCAGCGCTCAACATCCAATTCCCCTCTCCCTTGTTCAAACCCCCTCCCTCCACCTCACACCAACACCCTCCAACCCTTGCACCACCAACACGTTCCCATGCCCATGTCCATTGCACCACCAACACGTTCCCATGCCCATGTCCATTGCACCACCAACACGTTCCCATGCCCATGTCCATTGCACCACCAACACGTTCCCATGCCCATGTCCATTGCACCACCAACACGTTCCCATGCCCATGTCCATTGCACCACCAACACGTTCCCATGCCCATGTCCATTGCACCACCAACACGTTCCCATGCCCATGTCCATTGCACCACCAACACGTTCCCATGCCCATGTCCATTGCACCACCAACACGTTCCCATGCCCATGTCCATTGCACCACCAACACGTTCCCATGCCCATGTCCATTGCACCACCAACACGTTCCCATGCCATGCCCATGTCCATTGCACCACCAACACGTTCCCATGCCATGCCCATGTCCATTGCACCACCAACACGTTCCCATGCCCATGTCCATTGCACCACCAACACGTTCCCATGCCCATGTCCATTGCACCACCAACACGTTCCCATGCCCATGTCCATTGCACCACCAACACGTTCCCATGCCCATGTCCATTGCACCACCAACACGTTCCCATGCCCATGTCCATTGCACCACCAACACGTTCCCATGCCCATGTCCATTGCACCACCAACACGTTCCCATGCCCATGTCCATTGCACCACCAACACGTTCCCATGCCCATGTCCATTGCACCACCAACACGTTCCCATGCCCATGTCCATTGCACCACCAACACGTTCCCATGCCCATGTCCATTGCACCACCAACACGTTCCCATGCCCATGTCCATTGCACCACCAACACGTTCCCATGCCCATGTCCATTGCACCACCAACACGTTCCCATGCCCATGTCCATTGCACCACCAACACGTTCCCATGCCCATGTCCATTGCACCACCAACACGTTCCCATGCCCATGTCCATTGCACCACCAACACGTTCCCATGCCCATGTCCATTGCACCACCAACACGTTCCCATGCCCATGTCCATTGCACCACCAACACGTTCCCATGCCCATGTCCATTGCACCACCAACACGTTCCCATGCCCATGTCCATTGCACCACCAACACGTTCCCATGCCCATGTCCATTGCACCACCAACACGTTCCCATGCCCATGTCCATTGCACCACCAACACGTTCCCATGCCATGCCCATGTCCATTGCACCACCAACACGTTCCCATGCCCATGTCCATTGCACCACCAACACGTTCCCATGCCCATGTCCATTGCACCACCAACACGTTCCCATGCCCATGTCCATTGCACCACCAACACGTTCCCATGCCCATGTCCATTGCACCACCAACACGTTCCCATGCCCATGTCCATTGCACCACCAACACGTTCCCATGCCCATGTCCATTGCACCACCAACACGTTCCCATGCCCATGTCCATTGCACCACCAACACGTTCCCATGCCCATGTCCATTGCACCACCAACACGTTCCCATGCCCATGTCCATTGCACCACCAACACGTTCCCATGCCCATGTCCATTGCACCACCAACACGTTCCCATGCCCATGTCCATTGCACCACCAACACGTTCCCATGCCCATGTCCATTGCACCACCAACACGTTCCCATGCCCATGTCCATTGCACCACCAACACGTTCCCATGCCCATGTCCATTGCACCACCAACACGTTCCCATGCCCATGTCCATTGCACCACCAACACGTTCCCATGCCCATGTCCATTGCACCACCAACACGTTCCCATGCCCATGTCCATTGCACCACCAACACGTTCCCATGCCATGCCCATGTCCATTGCACCACCAACACGTTCCCATGCCCATGTCCATTGCACCACCAACACGTTCCCATGCCCATGTCCATTGCACCACCAACACGTTCCCATGCCCATGTCCATTGCACCACCAACACGTTCCCATGCCCATGTCCATTGCACCACCAACACGTTCCCATGCCCATGTCCATTGCACCACCAACACGTTCCCATGCCCATGTCCATTGCACCACCAACACGTTCCCATGCCCATGTCCATTGCACCACCAACACGTTCCCATGCCCATGTCCATTGCACCACCAACACGTTCCCATGCCCATGTCCATTGCACCACCAACACGTTCCCATGCCCATGTCCATTGCACCACCAACACGTTCCCATGCCCATGTCCATTGCACCACCAACACGTTCCCATGCCCATGTCCATTGCACCACCAACACGTTCCCATGCCCATGTCCATTGCACCACCAACACGTTCCCATGCCCATGTCCATTGCACCACCAACGCGCGCTCCCCCCCACCAGGTGATGGGAATAGGGCAGGCGGTGAGCACCACGTACATCGACCTCTACGCCGGCTACTTCACAGCGAACCCCGAGACGCTAAACACACCCGTCACCACGAGCGTGTTTGACCGCCCTGCCAAGTACGGCGTGTCGGGGCTGTACCCCGGTGCCGCGTACTCGCAGGTCACGGGGTACCGCGGCATGTCCACCTTCACCTTCGGCTTCACCAACTTCACCCAGGCAAGTGCCGCTCTGCTCTGCCCGCCAGGCAAGTGCCGCCCTGCTCTGCTCTTCACACAACAATTGTGCACCTCTTGTGTGATCCGCACTGCTCCTCGTTCCACATTGCCTTTGTGACATGGATGCCTTGCCCTGATCCTCCGCGCAACTGGTGTGCTGGTGTGGGCGCATGTGAGCAGGTGGAGTCATCAGAGGCACCCAGGGGGGCCAACGCATCAACTTGCCTGCAAAGACGCATGCAAGCCCTTGTGATGCCCGTGCTGTTGCCATTGCTACTGCTCCTTCTCGCATGATTTCAGGCGTGCATGTGAAACAGGGCTCCAATGGATATGCGAGAGCGCTATGCTTGTTCTTCAGTGATTACACGTACTGGTACGCAGCTTCGATACTTCTGAGAGCTGTACTTTTGAGCACTTTTCTAAGGTGGTCTGTCAAGAAAACATCTTGCACTTGTCCATTTCCAAAACGAATCCGTGACGGTTACCGTACAACAGAATGCAAGCACAAGCCCACAAAGAGCGCACAAAGAACCTTCACGACTACGTTGTGAACACTGGACACTGGTCACTGGACTTCAGAGAAAGGAATTTACCATTCGAAAGGGAATTTACAAACTGAGACAGTTCATGCTGTCAATTGTATGTCCGGCTATATGTGGGTAACAATGTGGAGTAAATGGTTAACAACTAGTAATCTGGCTGTTTTACAGCAGGGATTCGGAATGTGCATTCAGTTGTATACTTCGATAGAAGGCTGAAGAATCAGTCCCTCCCCTTAGAGAAAAAAAGGCTGAAAAAACAGTCTCTCTAAAATCTTAACACTGGAATATCAGTGTAGGTAAAAACAATTACCCTGAAAATCAAGAATTTCAGGGTTTTTTTCCTGATATCTGAGGGCCTGGCTCGCACGCACCGCGATATCGTTTGCATGTTTCGCCTATACCGTAAGCCCCTGGATAGAAGCGCAGGCCTCGGATAAGCGCCGGCGCTTATAAAAGGATGAGGGCGCTTATATCCGGTCCTCGATTATAAGCGCACCCCCTAGAAAAGGATGATATATTACCGTCAGCCCCCGGATAGAAGCGCCCCTGGGGGTATAAAAAAACACTGTTTTTTAGGGGGTGCGCTTATATTTGAAGGTTTTTATAAGCGCCGGCGCTTATATTGTCAAACTTATATGCTATGGTCTATCTAGGCTGTAGTGGGGTAGACACTATAGGGTACAACATTTCTAGGTTTCCTACTTGTACCCACATTTTGCCTAGTCATTTCATTCCTCATTCTTCACATGGTATAGAGCGGGTTCCCTAGTGGGACCATTTCTTCCTAAGGGCCCACCTTCGACTTTTTTTTTTTAGCCTGCCCGAAGCGCGCTTCGCGTCCTGCCCTAAAATTTCGCGGCCCCTTAGTGGCGTGCCCCTTCACGGCCCCTTAGCGGCCCCTTCGCGGCCCCTTTAGCGGCCCTTCGCGGCCCTCCTTCACGGCCCCGTCGCGGCCCCTTCACGGCCCCTTCGCGGCCCTGTCGCAACCCCTTCGCGGCCCCTCGCGGCCCCTCTTAAGGCCCTTCGCGGCCCCTTCGCGGCCCTTCGCGGCCCCCTCACGGCTCTTCGCGGCCCCTTCGCGGCCCTTCGCGGCCCCCTCTCGGCCCTTCGCGGCCCCTTCTCGGCCCCTTCGCGGCCCTTCGCGGCCTCCTCTCGGCCCTTTGTGGCCCTTGCTCGGCCCCTCTGCGGCCCTTCGCGGCCCCTTCGGGTCCCTTGGCGGCGCTTTCGCGGCCCCCCCCTCCCCCTTCGCGGCTCTTCGCGGCCCGCCGTAGCCGCCCTGCCGCCCCGTCGTCGCCGCCTCACCAGCAGCTGCCGTCACCCCTGCTGCCGCTGTAGCGGCCCTCCCGCCCCGTCGTCCCTGTTCCTGCAGCAGCGGCCGTCCCTGCAGCAGCTGCCGTCGCCGTCCCTGCCGCCACAGCAGCTGCCGGCCCTGCTGGTGTCGCGAGCCGCCGCCGCTGCTGCGGTCCCTGCTACCCCGGCCCTGACTTGCAGCCGAGCCGCGGCCCTACCCTGCTGCCCAGTTGCGGCCCCAACCCTGCCGGCGCACCTCGGCCCTGCCACTCCGGTCGCAGCCACCCTACCCACTCGCCACTGGTAAGCACCCTGCCGAGCCGCGCCCCTTTAGCCGAGTCGTGCTGCCGCTGCTGCTACTAGCCTGCTGCTGCTGCTGTCATGGCTACCCCCAATGTGCTCACCTTTGATGCTGAGGGTCGGGCTGTCGACTTTGAGGTCTGGGTCGATGATCTGCAGCTTTTCCTGCAGTGCGATAGAAAAGACGGTCTCTCACTGTTCGATCTCACGTCTGGTGCCTCTGCTGCCCCTACTGCCGATGCTGACAGTACTGTTCGCTCACAGTGGGCCAAACGCGATGCTGCTGCCCGTCTTGCTGTGCGTAGTCACATGCCGTCCACTGAGCGCGCGCACTTTAGTCAGTACAAGAGTGCTAAGACCTTGTACGACGCTGTAGTTGCATGCTACTCTTCCCCTGCCACTGCTGCCCTTAGTCGCCTCATGCTGCCGTACCTGTTCCCTCACCTCGCCGCCTTTCCCACAGTCGGTGACCTCATTACGCACCTCCACACTAGGGACACCCGCTACCGCGCCGCGCTTCCTGCTGAGTTCTGCGCCAAGAACCCCCCCCCCATGTACATCACCCTCTACTACCTAGTCACCCGGCTCCCTGACTCCATTCGCTCGGTCAGGGACCACTTCCTCTTTGTTTGCCCCACCACACTCACCGTTGACCTCCTCGAGGAGCGCCTCCTTGCAGCTGAGAAGAGTATAGTCGCTGTAGCAGCCTCTCGTGGTGACCCTCGTGCCCCCTTCTTTGAGGGGTGCTCCCCCTCCCCCCTTTTGCCCTCTGTTGCCTCTTCTGCTGCTGTCGACCTCGTTGGCACCGAGTCGGTCGGCGCTGCGTCTGCCCCTAGTGGGAGACGCCGCAACGGCAAGGGCAAGGGGGGCAAGGGCGCTGGAGGAGCTGGCGGGGGCGGTGGTGGTGGCGGTGGAGGCGGCGGAGGGGGTGGGGGTGGCGGTGGGAGTGGTGGCGGGGGTGGGGGCTTCGGTGGCGGCGGTGGAGGCGGAGGCGGCGGCGGCGGTGGTGGTGGGAGCGGAGGAGGCGGCGGTGGCGGCGGTGGCGGCAGCAGCGGTGGAGCTGGTCGGGGTGGCTCTGTGCAGTGGGGCGGTTTCGGTGGTGGTCAGCGCCAGCAGCAGCAGCGCACTCGTGAGACCCCGCCCCCCCAGCAGCTTCGTGAGTGGTACGCTGCGCGTCAGCGGGGTGGGGGTGCTGGTCCCTGTTCCTACGTCCTGCGTACCGGCGACCGCACTGGTGAGCCGTGCGGTGGCCCGCACACCACCCAGCGCTGCTTCGGCCGCCTGACGGACGCCTGGCGTCTCCAGTTCCCTGACGCCACTGAGATCCCTTGCTGGGGCGAGCTGCTTAGGTCGGGGGTTGCTATCTTTGATCTTGATTATGATGCCATTGTTGCTGCCATGTATGTTGTGTCTACTAGTGATGAGGGTGACTGTTACCTGTGTGTTCCGCCTGACCCGGGCATTGAGGCTGCTGCTCTAAGTGCTGGTGAGGCTGCTGCTCTAGGTGCTAGTGCGTCTGCTGCTCCAGGTGCTGGTGAGTCTACTGCCCCAGGTGCTGGTGAGTCTGCTCTCTCAGGTACCACGTCGACTCAGGTTTTGCACACCTTCACCATTGACTCGGGTGCTTCCCGCTCCTTCTTTCGAGACCGCACCACACTCACGCCGCTTAGTCGGCGGGTTGCAGTCTCCCTGGCAGACCCCTCTACGGGTCCTGTCCTTGCCCACTTCTCCACTGTCTTACCGTGTCTGGCGGCCCCCTCTGGCCTGGACTTTACCTCCCCTCGTTCTCTACGAACTTGGTGAGTGGTGCTGACCTACAGGATGGGGGGGTTGACCAGTTCACTCCTGCGAGTGAGCGAGTGACCCACTGTACGTGTGCTCGGACGGGCCGACACTTGGCCACGTTTACCCGTCAGCCGGGGTCGAGCCTGTACACACTGACTACTGAGTCTCCTCCGGTTGCTGCGTCGGGTCAGGTGTTTGCTGCAGCGTCCAGGTCTGGTCCTGAGTCTGCCCCCTGCTCGTGTCGTCTCCTGTCTCACCAGACTCTCCTCTGGCACCACCGCCTTGGTCACCCCTCCCTGCCTCGTCTCCGAGGCATGGCCTCCCGTGTCCTTGTCTCTGGTCTCCCCCGGTCCCTCCCTCCTCTTCCCCCGGGGCCTGCCCCTACCTGCGTTCCCTGCGTTGAGGGGCGGCAGCGCGCCGCTCCTCACTCCTCCGAGTTTCCTCCGACAGAGGCTCCGCTGCAGACGCTTCACCTAGACGTGTGGGGCCGCGCCCGTGTCCGTGGACAGGGTCACGAGCGTTACTTCCTGCTGGTAGTTGACGACTACTCGCGTTACACCACAGTCTTCCCCTTGCGCAGCAAGGGTGAAGTCACTGAGGTGTTGATCGACTGGATCCGCGCAGCTCGTCTCGAGCTCAGAGAGAGCTTCGGCTCGGACTTTCCTGTTCTGCGTCTGCACTCCGACAGAGGCGGAGAGTTTTCCTCTGACCTTCTGCGAGCCTTCTGTCGTGCACGGGGCATCCGCCAGACGTTCACGCTTCCGGCCTCTCCACAGCAAAATGGGATTGCTGAGCGCCGCATTGGCATGGTCATGGACGTCGCTCGTACGTCCATGATCGGTGCGGCTGCTCCCCATTTTCTGTGGCCGTTCGCGGTTCAGTACGCGGCGCATTAGATCAACCTTCAGCCCCGGGTCTCCTTGCCGGAGACCTCCCCTACCCTGCGGTGGACGGGGAAGGTTGGCGATGCGTCTGCGTTCCGTGTCTGGGGATCTCGAGCTTTTGTCCGCGACTTGTCTGCGGACAGGCTGTCCCCCCGTGCTGTTCCCTGCGTCTTCCTTGGCTTCCCCCCTGACGCGCCTGGTTGGCAGTTTTACCACCCCACCTCGCGCCGTGTTCTGTCCTCCCAGGACATCACGTTTGACGAGTCGGTTCCTTACTACCGTCTCTTCCCCTACCGCACTGCACCCCTCCCCCCGCCGCCGCTCTTCCTCGTGCCAGGTCCCCCCCTGGTAGACCCCCTTCCCCCTCAGGTGTGTCCCAGGTAGACGCAGACGAGCCTGTCGAGGTAGCTGTTGACTCTGGTGCTGCTAGGGGTGCTGAGCCTGCGGGTGCGGGGTCTGGGGGTGCTGAGCCTTGGGGTGCTGAGTCTGGGTG